GAAAACGCACTTATACAAGTACTCGAGCGTTTAAAAGAATCGCCCACTTTAGAATATTGCTCTTCTTTTTCGAAGTACTCGTGAATTCACGAGGCCGTCCAATTGAATTCGCAGTTGCTTAAAATATATATATATAGATAGATAAATAGATAGATAGTTCATCCCAACTCTAGCGATGATCAATTAGAGAGCTTAATTAAACCTAGAACAGGATCGAGCGTTGTTTGAATTGTTTCGAATGAATATGTTGCACACGACCCGAGACAATTAGCCAAATGAATTCTAATCGGATAATTCATCCGGGTAACAGTTATATATATATTTGATTGAATAATTTATTTGTGCAACAACGTAAACAGTTCCAAGCATCCATTGTTTCGGAGTTTGTTCTTTCGTTATAACACGCGAATGCCTTTTTCCGCGTCCGTGGATAGGTGATTTAGTTATGCATCGATAATTCATTCGCCAAAGAGTAATAAATTTCCGACGATGCAACCTTTAAAAAAAGAAGAGATTAATATTCAATCTTTCGTAAATACAATATTGTAGAATAACGTTTAATCAATTCACATTGTATAACGAACAAGTTATTGACCGAGTTGAGTCTTGATCGATTTTCCGTTTAACCGTTTCAGTGTCAAATTTTCATACATATTCGATACATGCGAATTTTAAACAAAGATACATGATTATAAAGGAAAATCAAAAATAAAGGAAAAATAAAATTTCTATACAATATTAAATACGTGTTAGGCTTCCTTTGTTACTAATAAAATTAAAAAGAAACTTCGCAATTGCGTGAAAGAGCGACATGTCGCTCTTTAACATTCAAAAGATTAAAAATATCCTTGTTCGAGCTATTTGTAACACTCAATATGCTGTTTATTTATTTCATCCAATATTTTTCTACATCTTCCTATCTTTATTTCAATCATTATTCCTCTGCCATCGAAGAATCTCAAGAAAGATTCTCGATCAATTGATTCACGGTTATTTATCGTTTCATCGGTTTCATCAGCGTTTATTTGCGAACAAGTCCCTCTCAGAAGTCTCCGACTGCATTTTCCCATGTTCCCCGGCCGTTAACATCTTGCCGCGCAATCTTCCTTGAACGTTACCTTTTCCATCGATTTTATTTGTTATTATTGTACGCGACAAATCGCTTCAGAACACGCATCGCCGCTCAAAGCGAACATTTTGAACGCTTTAATGATGTAACGATGTAACGAGGCGATAAACACGCCGTTCGCTTTCTCGCTCGATGAAAGCGCTCCTCCCGCGAGTGACTTTCGATAACCTCTTCCCATTCCGCGATACTATTTTTTCGGCGCGACAAAGTTGTCAATTTCCCAAACATCCTCGACCAGTCAATCTGCTGGAAACAACATCACAGCCGGGGTTATCCTCTTCGAAAAGAATTTTTCGTTTGCCGGATTTGCCGCTTCTGTCACTGAGACCGAGGCAGTTATACAAACTTTTTAATAAAAGTTGAAAACAATCGACTTCCCAATGGACGCTTGAGAGCCGACTTTTTTAAATAAAAGTTCCAAAGCCGATCCCGCGGCCGATGAAAACCGAGCAACGCGGAATTATTTAAACAATCGTCCTCCAAACTGAAACCAGTGGAGATCTCACTCGTTTTAATGAAATTTGATTCGTTCGGCGAACCGCCGGGGAAATGATTGAATTGCCGTGAAGCTATTAACAATAATGATATACATATATATATATATATACACGTTACACTCCATTGTGACATATCCTATCGATCTTAGCTCTAAAAATACAGTCGAATCGCCTTCTCTTAATATACTCATAGAAACTCTGTGCATCCATCGGAATTTCAATTCATTCGTAATTCGCTTTCCGTATTAAAAATAATTCCGATAATTTGTCTTCCAATAATTTCTTACTTTCTTCGATAATGAACAGGCGATTTCAATCCAGCGTTAATAATCTTCGTCCGAAAGCATAGAGCGTGCTTGCGATTCGAATAAAATAACTTCTGGTCTCGGTGGAAAAGTCGTGTCCTCCGAATTTGACTAACTTGACGTGGTACACGATTGTTGCATTGTCGAGAGGGAGTGTTCGCGACTTCTGAGGATCGCGAAGACCGTGGCAACTATACCAATCAGGGTTGACCTATTTGGAAAAAGGAGTCAGCGGTATCGGGCGGGTAAACAAAGACTTCAGTAGGGCTGTCTGCAGCCGGCAATCGAAACCCAGCCCGGTTAATGAGGTGCTCATTCAATAATGCCCGCCACTTATTTTTCTTTTTTTTCCGAGCACCGGTACAGACTTCGAACACATTCCCTCAGGATTCTCGTTATACCCCCGAGTATCGTTCTTCGATTCTTTCCGCAAATACGCCTGCCTGGCTCGGCGTTGCAGCCACTTTCCCTCCCTTTTCTTTCTTAATTAATTTCCCCCGGCCGGAATCTGGATATTTATTCGAATGCTTAAGAAAATGTTTCATCGTCCTCGAATCGCGAGTCCCGAGGTAAACATTTATACGTTGTAATCTGTACCGGTACCTGCCCGTGTCTGATACGTATCCCGGGCGAGTCGTAAAGACGGCCTTAGCGGACCAAATGAACTCCTGTCCATCCTAGTTCGCGAGAATTAGTCTGTAAAACTGTGTATTTGCATAATGCTTGTTATTCAGCTTAACTCCACCGTAAATACAACTTCCTCCGACGACGAACTATAAACTGTTGCGCCTGTTCCTGCCAATTAGCCCGCGGAAGTACTCGCGCGAAGTTCCTTAATCGAACGAAATGTATCACAAACCAATGAGATCAATGCTACATAAATTATCATCGAAACTCCGAAGGCAATATTTAAAAGCCCAGTGACTCCTTTCAGTTGCATTCTCCAATATTCCATTTAAAAACAAACCACATTTACCAAACACAACTAACCACGTACGTCCCAAAGACGTACCGCCCGTTGCAGCGAACCTGGCGCTCTCGTCTGATTGGTCAGCCTCGAATGCGCACGGCTCGTCCACAGATTTCCATTACTAATATCCGATTCACCGAGATGTTCACGCACACTAATCGGATCGCGCGACAAACAGTGGGAAGAGTCGTTTCCAGACTCACAATTACATTTCTCAGAGCGCCAATATCCGCCTGTATGACACTCACGAGTGCCAACCTCGCTGCAACGGACGGTAGATTTGCAAAGAAATCAAGATCACAGTTGCACGAACTAAAAGTTCTCGTTTCTTTTGTTTCCTCAGGTGTCCTGGGTGAGGCACAGGGACATCCACCTGCTCACGGTCGGCGTCGAGACGTACACGTCCGATCAGAGATTCGTCGCGACGCATTTCCCGCAGACGGAGGATTGGACGCTGCAAGTGAAATACCCCCAGCGACGCGACTCCGGCACCTACGAGTGTCAAGTGTCAACGACACCGCCGATCGGTCATTCCATGCATCTCTCGGTTGTCGGTTAGTTCCGGCGATAGCCTTTTCTTTCCAGCCCCGACCGACCGGTTCGCCCGTTGCCGGCACGCCGCGCAATCTTCCCGTCGGAATCGGCTGTCGCTCTCGTTCCGCCCGACCCCTGGGTCCGTGCTCGTTAATTTTATTTTCCCCGAAACGTCTATCAGGATTGTCCGACCCCTCCGCGCCGGTTCGGCTTCAGTTCCACCGGATCGGGCTTACGTTACAACGGTTTTCCCAATTCCGAATCTGCTTTGAATTTCAATTAAAGCGACTTTTTCCTTTTCCCCTTTCCGCCTCCTGTGCTTTCCTCCGGCCGATCCGAGCCCC